CCCACAATTTATCTACCATCTAAAAATAATCTCATTTATGTGAATCAGAAAAAAAGAACACACTGACTACAGCCCAATATAGTACACTAAAGAAAGGGGGGTAACCCCTAGTAGAAATAGACAAAATGTTAGAAGGTAGTGTACCAATGAAACGGTACTGAGAGAGAAAGATGGTCTATTAAAGTGCTGAAAGGCTCCACAATAAATACAGGAGTCTAAAGTACAATCGAGAAACTAGAACCAAAAAAGAAAACAAAAAAGAATTTATTCATAAGATATAAAAATTGCAAATAATACCAAAACCCTAAGTGTAACACACTAAAATAATAGTGAACACCTAAAGTTAATAAAATGCGGAGCACAATAGCTCAATATAAGAAACTCTGAAGTCACAAGATATATAAATCATAATGCAAAAGCACACGTCTGTGCTAACAGGGAAGCTGTGTCTAATGGTACCTAATAATACCGGGGGAGTGTAGAATTGATTCTAATTAATAAAGCAACATAGGATATAAAGCGTATGAATCCTATGTATTGCATATGTGGGATACCAGTACTAATTAAGATGGTAACAATATATATAATTCCTAGTCCAAAATGCCTAGGTTACCAGTATAAACATAGCAGTGGTGATACTGCTAATAGCATATGAATACCACATACGATGATAGACTGTGGATAATGGTTATAGTGCACATAAGCTGCTAATATAGAGGCAACAAAGGATTATAGATGTAAGTGCTATACTGGCAATCAACTCCGTGCTGGACAGGGACTACAACTCAGGGACTACAATTTATTATCTGTAGTTATCAAACTATCATGTTATTCCAGTATCATAGCATATATTTTTTTATTCAGGCTAATCAACACGACTTATCCAGCAGTGATAGATTTAGGTGTCCTTGAAGGCACGGGGGTAATAGTATCTAATTATTATTGCATTTAGGAAAATACAGCTTTATTCCTATACATTTCAACTACATGGTGCTCGTATTACCTTAATTGATCAGAATCTTTGGGAATCGTTCTGGGATAGCAGCTTTTCCCTGCTCTAATTTTATCAACTATGCTTCCTAGCACGGAGGCTTATTGCCAGCACAGCACACTTGTATTCAATTGTTATTCGCATATTGACAGTTCGTGTATACTGTAACAATTACCTTCAGTATATACTACTGATTCACTGATACATTGTAACTTCTATCATCTCCAGTTACACAACGCTGAACTCTAATTGTATTTCTTGGCACAATTTCTAATGACTGCTAAAAACCAGCAATCATCATTATTTTTTGCTTTCATTTATTTAATTATGCCGTTCATTTAACTATGAGATGATCTCTTATGTCCAGCACCGAGTTGATTGCCAATATAGCACTTACATCTATAATCATTTGTTGCCTCTATATTAGCAGCTTATGTGCACTATAACCATTATCCACAGTCTATCATCGTATGTGGTATTCATATGCTGTTAGCAGTATTACCACTGCTATCTTTATACTGGTAACCTAGGCATTTTGGACTAGGAATTATATATATTGTTACCATCTTAATTAGTACTGGTATCCCACATATGCAATATATAGGATTCATACGCTTTATATCCTATGTTGCTTTATTAATTAGAATCAATTCTACACTCCCCCGGTATTATTAGGTACCATTAGACACAGCTTCCCTGTTAGCACAGACGTGTGCTTTTGCATTATGATTTATATATCTTGTGACTTCAGAGTTTCTTATATTGAGCTATTGTGCTCTGCATTTTATTAACTTTAGGTGTTCACTATTATTTTAGTGTGTTACACTTAGGGTGATTGGTATTATTTGCAATTTTTATATCTTATGAATACATTTTTTTTTTGTTTTCTTTTTTGGTTCTAGTTTCTCAATTGTACTTTAGACTCCTGTATTTATTGTGGAGCCTTTCAGCACTTTAATAGACCATCTTTCTCTCCCGGTACCCTTTCACTGGTACACTACCTTCTAACATTTTGTCAGAAAAAAAGAAGTAAAAATACATCAACTGTTTATGTGAAAATAAAGTTAATTATAGCTTCATTTACTTTTTTAGAAGACAACAGTATATATAACAGGACGACACAAAACTTATTTTATCCTCTCCCAAGAAGCTCTTTATATAATTTTGTATATATTGTGTATTCATATTGTTTTTGTATTTTATTGTACCCCAATGTATCAGTGTAATGTTTTTTGGACCCAGGACATACTTGAAAACGAGAGAAATCTCAATATATCTTTCCTGGTAAAGTATTTTATAAATAAATATGTTGTACAAGAAATAAGAAGCATATTAAATACAATATTCTTCTTTGTAACACCATGAGTCAAGGGAACATGTAAAGCAGGGGTTAATTTGTCCCGTGGAACCCTTTGACATAGTGTATCAACATAACACACAGCACACAATTAGAGAAACACTTATATACTAAATAATATATTCACACAATCACACACATAAATATATGCATACAGACACACACATGCACTAGGCTGCACTAAGCTCAGCTAAATGTATTTAGCCCCTACTTCCCAATTAACCACACTATCTGTAGCACTCACACATACAGGGCCAGCCACTCACACACATACACGTAACAAGCCAGCCACAGCCATATACTCATAATTTGTCACTCACAGAATTATTTGGCTATACATGCATACATTCACAAATAAAACAAGAATAAAACTTCACTTACAATCACAAACACATGCAAACATATGTCTGCCACATTGTTTTTGACAGATGAACACAAATAGCCAAACACACATAGACATACATGCATACACATAAATACGCTAAATACACACATGAACTAATAGCTAAACATTTCACTATCAATCAGTCCAAAAAGAGGTTGCAATAAATATATTTTTTAACAAACACAATATGATTCCTATAATGTCAAATAAAATTATAATAATTTAGAACATAATTTTATCTTAAAAACCTAAATGTTTAATTTTGTGATTATTCAACAACAGCCATTATATATGTGTGTAGAAAACACTCTAACTTGCTAGAAAATTCTGGAGTAACATCATGTTTATGATGAATAACCTTCCAAAAGAGATGGTAAATACTAAAACAGTGAAAAGATTTAGAAAATTTGGAACCAAATCAAAAATAAAGTCTGGGTTTAATGGGTGAAAAGCATTTGTCTGCATTTAAAATCTCCATTTCAGTATTTCTAAGTCAATCAGTCCCTCTTCAAGTTATGATGTAAATTGGTAATGCTCTGATTATGATACATAATATATTCACAAGACCATAAGGGAACCTAGAATTCTTGGAATGTACTGTATTTGTCTAACCGTGCTTGGCCTGGCACAGACAGCGAGCCAAGCTAAAATCACAATTATTCTTTCAGGATTTTGTATTCTCACTGCTTTAATCCAAGGCAGGCAACAAAATTCACCACATTCTTCACTTTAATTTTAGAAGCAGATTGAGATCTCTAATTTTCAGTCTGATTTAAGTAGTTATTAAAGTAAGGCAATTTCCTTCAAAATTGCCAAACTTCGTGATTCATGTACAGCTGTATGGTTAAGTGAATGTATGTTATAAGAAGCTGTTTGCTAGCTAGCACTTTCTAAGGCTATAGAATGGGCCTGTCACCTAGAAACCATTGCTATTGTAAAATATATACTGTTAAATGGTATGCCATTACAGTGAGTTATTTAATAAAAATATTCGATTTCTGACCACGAATGATTGTCAAATAACACAAAGTTAATTTTGTTTTCTTGGCACAATTGTTTCCCTTTAACATAAAACTGCAAATGATTTGACAACTTACCATGGATCCCAGAGTACTGTCTGTAGAGCCAGAAGATTCTGCATTGAACATCTTTTAGCTGCTTCTAGCTCATGGTTGGCACATTGGTTGATTGGCTGAGCATTAGCTGAGTGCTTTCAGCCAGTGAGCTAAAACCCTGCATTGAGGGCTTAAATCAAAGCTGAGACCTTCTAGCAGCACTGGAGGTTTTAATACTTACCCAGGCAGGGCACCAGAACTCTTGTTGCACCATAAACACTACAGTGCTCTGTAGTGGTTATGGTGCTTGGATCTTCCTTTAAATTTGATGTTATTGTTTTTCACTATCCACACGGGTGAGATATTTATACCCACCAAAGAAAACATGCAAAACAAATCATATGCATATTTGCTATGGGGATGTCACTACAAAATAGTTGGTTTGGGGGTTTTTTTTAATGGAGAGTTCCAATAAAGTAGAGCTGTCATTAAATCCAAGTTTGAAAATTACCCATAGCCTTTTTATCATGAGATACTTAAAATTATTTTAAAATTTATATTAAAGATTTAGGAAGTATCCAATAGACTAGATAATCCACAGGTTCAACAGATTTCGGAAGTAAAATCATTTTCCAGTTCCATTTAAAGGGACACTATAGTCACCAGAACAACTACAACTTAATGTAGCTTAATGTAGTTGTTCTGGTGAGTATATCATTATATGCAGAGAAAAGGTGTTTACATTGCCCTTAGGGACACCTCCAAGTGGCCACTCCTTAGATGGCCACTGGAGGGGCTTCCTGGCTCAGGGCTGCACAGTAGGCAACAGTGGCATTCAGCGTCTCCACGCTCTGCATGGGGACGCTGAATTTTCCTCAGAGAGAGGCCTTGATTCAATGCATCTCTATGAGGAGGTGCTGATTGTCCAAAACTGTGTTTGGCCCCGCCCTTTGCAGATTTTAGCCAAGCCAATGCTTTCCCCATGAGAAAGCATTGGATTGGCCAAAAAAATCGGTAATTCTGATGATCTCACTATATGGAACTATGCACCCAGACCACTTCAATGAGCTGAACGGTTTGGGTTCCTATGGTGTCCCTTTAATTTTATTATTCACATCTCACAAGTACATATTTGTTAAAAATAGAGGATAAGTAAACAGTATTACCGGTATTACAAATCCTGCAATGTAGTTACTTGATAGCAGCCTATTGCATTAGGGTGTGCATCCTAAAGCACAAACACACGCCGTGTGTGTGTATGTATATATATATATATATATATATACACACACACACACACACACACGGCGTGTGTTTGTGCTTTAGGATGCACACCCTAACAGCACCCTCACAAACACACACACACAGCACCCTTACAAACACACATCACCCTCACACACAGCACACTAACAGCACCCTCACAAACAAACACACAGCACACAAACAGCACACTCACACACAAACAGTACGCTCACACACACACAAGACACCCACAGCACACAAACAGCACCCTCACACACACCACCCAAACAAAACCCTCAAAAACAAACACATTCAAACACCCTCACACACACAGCACACTACCAGCACCCTCACACACACCACACAAACAGCACCCTCACACACAGCACACTAACAGCACCCTCACAAACACCCTCACCCACATAGCACACTGCCAGTACCCTCACACACACATCACACTAACAGCACACTCACACACAGCACCATTACACACACACATACACACACACACAACACCCTCACACAGCAGTGTATGTATGTGTGTGTATATACATATATATATGTACATATATATACACACACATACATACACTGCTGTGTGAGGGTGTTGTGTGTGTGTGTATGTGTGTAATGGTGCTGTGTGTGTGTGTGTATGTGTGTGTGAGGGTACTGGTAGTGTGCTATGTGGGTGAGGGTGTTTGTGTTTGTGAGGGTGCTGTTAGTGTGCTGTGTGTGAGGGTGCTGTTTGTGTGGTGTGTGTGAGGGTGCTGGTAGTGTGCTGTGTGTGTGAGGGTGTTTGAATGTGTTTGTTTTTGAGGGTTTTGTTTGGGTGGTGTGTGTGAGGGTGATGTTTGTGTGCTGTGGGTGTCTTGTGTGTGTGTGAGCGTACTGTTTGTGTGTGAGTGTGCTGTTTGTGTGCTGTGTGTTTGTTTGTGAGGGTGCTGTTAGTGTGCTGTGTGTGAGGGTGATGTGTGTTTGTAAGGGTGCTGTGTGTGTGTGTTTGTGAGGGTGCTGTTAGTGTACTGTGTGTGAGGGTGCTGTATGTGTGTGTGAGCTGTATGTTTGGAGGGATTGTGGGGGTGGAGGTGGGGGCAGATTAGTAAATATCCCCCCTCCCTTGTTACCTTATGTAGGGATGGGGGATCCTTGTTGCCATGTGTCATCGCTGATGATCCAGTGCCTGTGGGGCTACAGTTCACTCTCGCGAGATCTGAGCATTGCCACGGCAACACTCAGATCTCGCAAGAGGAACCCGGCGGAGCTGCTGGCTAGAGCTCGCCGGGTCCTCTCCTGCCTCCCTCCCTGCTGCTGTGGGCCGGTGAGGGAGATCTCCCCACCGGCCCATGGAGGCTTAGAGCAGAGCCGGCGCACGGATAGCGCCGGCTCTGCATGAGCTGACTGGAGATCCTGAGATCTCCTCTGCCAGTCTCAATCCATAGGCGTGCCGCAGGGATTAAGGTGTGCCCAGGCTCACCCGGCACACCCCGTGAGTATGCCTATGGTTCTCTGTTAAGTGATTTCCAAACTTTCTACAACTCTAAACACATCCACACACCATACATCAATTCACTGTTTATCACTTAGTAATAAAATAATGAATTAACTAATTTGCTTAAAATAACCAGCTTTCAACACTGTGTCCCTACAGCTAAATATTTTAAATACATTTTTTGCTCAACAATTTGTGTTTGAATTCTCATCCACTGTTATGTGTTGGTCAAAGATAATCATACTTAAAGGACCACTGTAGACACCCAGACCACTTCAGCTCAATGAAGTGGTCAGGGTGCCAGGTCCCCCTGGTTTTAACCCTGCAGCTGAAATCATAGCAGTTTCAGAGAAACTACTATGTTTTCATTGAGAGTTAATCCAGCCTCTAGGGAAAATCACACTGAGATGACGATGACGTCCATAGGAAAGCATTAATAATGCTTTCCTATGGGCGGTTTGAATGTGCGCGTGGCTCTTGCCGCGCATGCGCATTCGGAGCTGACATCAGCTGGATTAAGTTAAGTGGCTGAAGGGGTTTTAACCCCTTCAGCCCAGCAGGAGGGGGGGACCTAATAACTCGATAATGCCAGGAAAACAAGTTTGTTTTCCTGGCACTATAGTGCTCCTTTAAAGGAACACTACATAAAGGAACAACTACCATAACCACTACAGCTCTGTCTGAGCTAAGCCCTGCAGTGCACTTACTACTGACAATAGCAGAGCACCACGGTCTGAGCACGTGAGCTGTAATGGTTATGTTGCTTGGAGTGTTAAAAAAATTACTAGTTAAATTATTAAAATTTGATCATTCGCAAAATTTCTGTTGAATTTCCTTTTTTATTGGCTGAATTTATCGGTTGCACTAACTACCAAAGAAGCTCAGGATACTCAGTGACCTAAACATTTAATATTATGTTACTAAATATGTTCTAAAATAATTAAAAAGAAAGCAAAGGAAAACCTGAGTAATATTCAGTGATTCTACTAATGGAACGTGTTAAAGGACCACTATAGTGCCAGGAAAACATACTCGTTTTCCTGGCACTATAGTGCCCTGAGGGTGCCCCCACCCTCAGGGACCCCCTCCCGCCCGGCTCTGGAAAGGGGAAAGGGGTAAAAACTTACCTTTTTCCAGCGCTGGGCGGAGAGCTCTCCTCCTCCGTTCCGCCCCATCGGCTGAATGCGCACGCGCGGCAAGAGCTGCGCGCGCATTCAGCCGGTCACATAGGAAAGCATTATCAATGCTTTCCTATGGACGCTGGCGTGCTCTCGCTGTGAAAATCACAGTGAGAAGCACGCAAGCGCCTCTAGTGGCTGTCAATGAGACAGCCACTAGAGGATTAGGGGGAAGGCTTAACCCATTAATAAATACAGCAGGACTGCAATGCTTGTTTGGACATTGTTAAATTAGGATAATTTATTCTTTCTAAGTACTGTAACAGAATAATTTTTTTTTAACGTTAATTTCTCTTGACATCACCGCTGCTGAGCACTGCTAGACCCGCATAAATGGACACTATCACAGTACTAATACTGTATGACTCAGTCCAGCTCCTGCCGGAGACTCTCATACCTGCTGGGTTAAAATGGGTTAACCCTTGAAGGACCTGGCACCCAGACCACTTCATTAAGCTGAAGTGGTCTGGGTGCCTAGAGTGGTCCTTTAAATACAGCAGGACTGCAATGCTTGTTTGGACATTGTTAAATTAGGATAATTTATTCTTTCTAAGTACTGTAACAGAATAATTTTTTTTTTAACGTTAATTTCTCTTGACATCACCGCTGCTGAGCACTGCTAGACCCGCATAAATGGACACTATCACAGTACTAACGCTGTATGACTCAGTCCAGCTCCTGCCGGAGACTCTCCTACCTGCTGAAATCCCCAGCACACAATATGAGTCCTATGGTGGCAGCTAGCATAAAACACAACCTATGTAACTATACAATGCCTGTTCATTGATATGCCTTATAACATGACAACGTGCTTTACCACATTTGAACAGGCATATATGTCTATTGACACAAGCCTGATGTCCTAACGTGCCTTACCACCTCAGACACGCTAAATCAGCCTGTACTACATTTAACTTTATATGCTTACAACTATGCAACTACTTTTTGCTGCGTTACTTAGTTAGCATGTTACCAACCGAATCATATGATCCATAGCTTGTATTTTCAAACTAATGAGTCAAAGATCCACATCCAGCAAAGCAACTGTTTTAGTTTAGCTTGAACCTTGATGTTTAACCTACTCTGTGCATAGGCAGCTCTGGCTTGCGGTTACTACACAAGACTGTATGCCTCTCTTTTTCTATATATGTAGAATACTGTTTAAGCCTAGCATGTTAATATACCCTCTGGCATAGCATATCATTTAAATCTATTAACATACTCAGTAGGCATTCCTCTAATCAACCAGCTTGTACAACGCAGGGTAACGTTACCTCTGCTTGATTAACAATCAGCTTATCCACTTATTGTGCCTTTAAGCAACAGGACCTTATGATCCATAGCTTGTATCTTCAACATATAGTTAAACGACAAAAATAAAAATTTTTTAAAAGAGGCATCGCTACTCTGGAAATGTACCTTCATTTTACTAAATGATGTATCAACCCTATGCTGTAAATCACCTGTACTTTTCCCCTGCTTTTCTTCTGTATCCCATCTAATATGCCTTCAATAAAAGAAAGATTGACCAAACAAAATTCTCTTGACATTATTTAGATCAGTTATACTTTTCTGATCAGATGGCATTCAACAACAACCGATTTGTAGTAGGACAGCAGGAAAAATTTATGGCATATTTTGACAATGGAGTGCTTTCACATTAGGCAGCCCATTCAAACTTTCTATTTTCTGTTTTATGAGCCGTATAATGTGGAAGAGAACAAAAGTAGTCTGGGGTTCCACAGTGCAGCTGTGAACTAGTCATCAGGGTAGTTGAGGGCATCTCTGATTTAGAGATAAGATTAGCAAAGGTCAGATTTTTATTTACCTTCTAAAATTTGGAGTGACACTTGATTTATGTTTTTCGCTTAGTAGAATTGCCTAGAGGTGTTGAATACTTCTTCATTAAAAACTTACCGGGTCTCTCTCTCTTTTCTCTTCTATAAAGACAATGCAATGTTTTTGTAATGAGAAGGAAAAAAGTATGCTTTACCACTATAATATATATATATATATATATATATATATATATATATATATTGTGTAAGGCTGGGCCTGTAGTTGTGGGAGAGGCTTGGTTTCCCTTCTTAAGGGACGCCAGACCACTCTCCATTATCGTTTTCAGTCTGGCGATTTGCATACCATGACTTCCGGTCTGTGCAAATCGCCCTTTTATTTACCTTCAACTCGTTGGAACGATTACCTGGTCCTGCAGCCCCTGGTTGTCCGTTTCACTGTCTTCCAACTCTCCAGAACCTCGACAGGACTCCCATGCCTGCTCAGTCACTTCGTTGACTGAATCGTAAAAACCGTTAGTTGAGTAGCCTGTCGCTCAGCGTCATTCCGGGGTGGCTTTATGCTTTCATCTCCTTCCACATACATCTGTTTGTTTTTCTGTTTTCTCGCGGCTATGTGAACGTTTAGGCT